TTTTTGGAGACGAGCCTGAGCCCATGTCCGAGTGCTCACGGGATCAATGCTGCTGCTCCTGTGGCAGGGTGACAGGTCTTTGAGCAACTCCAATTGAATGTGGTCACACACTGAGGCCTTTGTCAGATAATGTGTTCACTCCCAAAAAAGGATCTGAACGCTTTCAAGTGATGACTGCTGAGGATCCAATCTGAGAAGCCGAAAACAACTCACTCCGCAAGACAACCCCAGCTTAGCTTGAGGCTTTCCTTGGATTCACCAAAGCTGGCTGTCCTGACAACCAACTCTCCGGTGCGCGTTCTCGTCGTTTCGTCCTTCCAGGCAGCTCCAGTGGGATCTCTCGATGCCCGGCTCAGGCGGGGCAGTAACAAGTGCCACGCTACTAGGAACAAGTGCATCGCTTCTAGTAACAAGTGCCTTACTATTAGTAACAAGAAGCTACTATTAATTTATTTAGAATCATATTAAAATTAGTAGTTGGTCCAGAGTCGGAGCTCGAAAGGTCGAGGTGACCAATGGTGACGGCTTCGTCCGTCGACGGAGGGTGGTGGTTTTCCGGGTCCAGCCTTCATGTATGAGAGTAGCGCTACGTCACGTCGAAAGGTGAGCAAGGCGAGACAGCCTGGGCCTAGGGGTCGCCAAGGTGTTTGTTTGGTCGGCTAGGGCAGTTCTGTCGGATGTACCCCAGGGACTTCCGGTCGGCTTCTCGTGAAAGTCGTGGTCTCCAGGGCAAAGCGACTTCATGGGCAAGAATACTTGCATCTCGGAAGAGCTCGTTCGCGAGGGTTTAACTCGGTGTGGACAAAGCTGATGTGAGTCTGTTAGTGCCTTGCAAACGAGTAAAAGTGAGCAAGTGCCTTTCTTTTCTCGATGTCATTTTCCGAGAGATTGGCTGTGATCCCGCTGGTTCCTGCAGTGAAGTGCCGTTTGAGGCAGAGACCCCTTCGAACACTTCGGCCGAGGCCGAACGCCAAGCTGTTCCGAAGGGCCGTTCGGCTGGTGTTTCCAAAGTGGTGAACAAGGTAGCGAAGCACTGAGGACACCGAAGTACATTTGGTTTGAGAACTAAGTACATTTGAATCTTCCTTCATGGACGTTCATGTTCACGCGATTGGTTTTGGGATGTTTTGTGTGACCTCCTTCCGAGTGAGAGCTCTTCATTTCATCTTCTGAAAAGTTTCGAGCTGCAAAGTCATGTCCCCAGAGATGAAATGATCAAACACCGAACACCTGTTTGGCCGATGGCAGCGAATGTTCTTGATGATAATTAGGTCAGTTTCTACCGTTCCCCGAGAAGAGGCATGTGAGAGCCACCCAGCACAGATCGAAGTCGTTCGAAGGGAGATCCAAGGAGCAGGCTTCAAGAGAGTTTGGGATGGCCGATTTCAGGTCCATCAAACGTGACAGACCTCGGACCCTTTTCGACCAGTTTGGGAGTCTGAAAAAAAAGAGAAACCATCCTGAAAAAGCAGTTTCTACTAAAAGCTTGAAAGGTCGTGGATTCCAAAACGGAAAATACTTCATGTCTAATGTTTGTTTATGTCAAATAGATGTTTATGTCTAATGTATTTTCTTGGAATATGTTTTTGGCAAAACGGCAAAACCCATGTCGTTTCGGGGCTCCGCAAAACCCACGGCCTCAGCCTGGTCGAGCCTTGGCGAGCTGAAGCAGCGTTGGGGACACCCAGTGGAGGTCAGTGGAAGTGGACGTTGGGCTTAAGCCTCGACGACCTGAAAAAGGATGGTTTTGGGGGAAGAAGTTTGGTTTTAGCTCGTGCCCCTGCCTCCTTACTTAGTAAAGCAAGGGAGAAACTAGTTCGCTACTAGCAATAGGAAGCTACTACATGTAGACGCAGAATAGCTCACGCTCGCACTCCTGATTTGGTTCCAAGAAAAAATAGGTTAATCAACCAAAAACTGAAACTAGTTATACAACCGGTTTTGCAGAAGGACTTTGTCTTCCAGTTTATGCCCAGCTTCGTTCCAGCTTCGTTGATGAGTTTTGCTTCTGAAAGTGAAATGCCATCCGTGTGTTCAGAAGGGGTAATTATTTGCTGCTTAAATAGGAGATGTCCTGCAACACTGCAGGTAGAGGATATTTAGCTAGTTCCAGTGTGGCACAGGGGGTTCTGGGTCAGGATTTCTGGCCCGTCCACCCAAAAGGTGCTGGAGCTCATACAATGGGGACCCTGAGCGCTGGCTACTACATCTACAACCCGATTCTATGTGAAGAATCCATCAGCTTCACAAAGATATTTCGAAGGATTTCAATGTTTCTTGCTTCTCATACATTCCAAACGGAGTTCCTTCAGCCTGAGGTCAAAATGGGGAGATTGGCCATTTTGCCGCTTGGATTGATCAACATCACACGCAAAGGGCAAGCAAAGCTGCAAGCCCTTCTTTGTTTGGCTAATTTTGGAGTGGCAGTGTTGCGTTCGTCAACTGCCACCATAGAACTGTCATTTTTTGTTGGATGCCCATTCAACAACTAATGAAACGATCAGTGTTGCAACAACTTTTGACCATTTCAACCTTTGAAAAGCTGTTGGTCATGAAATCGAAAGGCCAACGACATGACACCTCCCCATGCACATGACACTCATGATACTCCTGACTCCAGAGATGACACACCATTCTTCTTCTGATTGTTTCAACCTTTTGGCGCCACTCGTGTCGCGTTGTTTTCACCTTGTTGTGACACGCTGTGGAAATCTCTAGGCCGAGCGCTTCGACTCGAGCTGCCCGGATCCGCTCTTCATGTCAGCCCGGCCTCCAGCGAGGGTGTGGTGTCACCGGTGAAGCGAAGAAGGGTCTTGTGTTGGAGAAGGAAAAAGGAAGGAAGTGGAGAAGGTGAGAAGAGAACGAGAAGACAACGAGAAGGTGAGATCTTTCTTTCCGTGGTTTTTTTGTGGTTTCGGGTCTGTGCGGTCGGCTTGGACGTTGAGTTGTCTGGATCGGTCTGTGGGGAACCTTGTCCAAGCTCCCCAGGAAAAGGAATGGATGTTTGTAGACCTCCTATTGGTTGGAGAACAAATAAAAGCGGATCAATCAAAAACCGCTACACAGTTGCTCGTGCAACAGACTAAGCATTGATTGCCGACCTATCATCCTATCAAGCAGGATGGTTTCCAAACGATGTGCCGACCAACAGTTTCCACGTTTACTTGGACGGAAGTCGCGAGCTTCAAGCGCAAACGATATGGCGAAAACGACTCGTTCGAGACGATGTTTCACTCGTTTCTCGAGGCCGTCGCAGCCAGCAGCAGTTTCTTCTTTGGGAACGGCGGCCACTGCGACCTGCCCGATGACCCAGAAGACAACAAGTCTTCGTGTCGAGGGCTGTTGAGTGCTGTTTTCCAACAATAAGAGGTCTCAACATCAGCTACAGCGGCTTCAGAGTGCAGAAAAAAGCAAATCATGTGTCACGTCGGAGAAAAAACCGTGCTGTGTACTCTGTTTGCTTGTGTGCGAAAGGCGTCCTCCGGGAGCGGCCCGCAACATAGAAAATGAACTTACCAAATGAGGGGGGTTTCACAGAAGTGTGATTTGTGAGTGGGTGATGGAAGGTTGGTACAGTATGACATAGTATGACCTGTTGTCTCCGTTCTTCAACTCAAAAGATGAGGATCTAGCCATGCTTGAAGGAGCCTGTTCTATTTGTCCCAGCCTCTTAGCTCTCCGTAGCAGACCTCAATGTTCTTGCACTCGGGACGTATGTGAGGAATGAGCAGTTTGTTGAAGCTGCAGGGAGTGTGATTTTTTCACTTTGTGGAGTTTCTGCTGTGGTGCCTCTTAACTCTGGAATAGTACAAATGCTACTAGTAGTAAGGCCAGGAACCCCTAGTAGCGATGCCAGGATCCCCTAGTAGGGTCCGATCACTCCTAGTAAGGGGAGCTGATAGAAGAATCCAATGAGTCTTTAAATGCAGGTGACAAGATCTCGACCAAAGACCAATCTCCCTTTGTGGCCTGCCGCTCAGGGCATCTTAACAGCCAATCCCTGGAGGCCGGAGAGTCCAGAAAATACCTTCGCCAAATCGATCCATTCTGTCAAAGCAGAATCTGTGAATCGGGCCTAATGTAAGTGAATCCATGTCAAAAATATGTGGCTTACATTGCTACTTTTGGCCGAAAAAATATCCATTCTTCTCCTGGCCTTACTAGTAGCAAGAAAGCTACTAGGGGCTCCTGGCATCGCTACTAGGAACAAGAAGCTACGAACGGGGCTCCTGGCCTTACTATTAGGAGCGATCGGACGCTACGAACGGGGATCCGATCTTCGGAGTTCTTCCCCTTCGAACGCCTCACAGGTCCGGCTTTTCGCGACGCAGAATTTGTGGCAACGGATCGAAACGACAAAAAAGGGGGCGCCGCGGAGCACGTGTTCGCCACGCGCGGAGCCAAAACCGGTTGGCGTTTTTCGGAAAAATGAGTGATTCAGACTTGTAGATAATATAGATAGCTGGAGAGCATCATCAGTTTTGCGATGCTTGGCTACACACACTTGGACTCATTAATTCAACAGACAGTTTATCAAAAGAACTGAGGATGTAGCCGTAGCCAAGTCAGCATTTGTTTGGATATCCTAGTCACACCAAGCCCTTGCCTCCGCCGTTTGCAGCCATCATGGAAGACAGATGAAGAGAGAGTGAATGGATGTAATGGATGTTTTCCATCAGAACAAGCTACAAGCAGACAGCTTCAGAGCATGATTCCAACGAACTCCAAGACAACCATAGCAAAATCTGAAAAGCCGTCGTGGCGCACTGGTTTGGGACATGTTTGGCATCTCAGAAAGAAGAGTCGAAGGCCGATCAAGAGACCTAGAGAAATCTCAGAGGAATGTTCACATGTGTTTGCACGCTGCAATTTTTGCAGATGGCAATTCATTCGTTAGAAGAAGCATTCTGAAAGCTTTTTTGGAGTGCTTGCAGAGTGACAAATATGGCATCATCACCTTGTGGATCCTTGCGGTGTTCCGAAAGAAGCACAAAGGCTGCGAAGCCATGAGCACCTGGCCGCCATAAGCGTTCCGCTCAAAGTGCAATGTGCAAGACTCAGGGCACATTCATCCGTAGGGTAATGTGCTCAGAGCCCAAAGACTTAAAAATTCGAAGCTTTTCTATTCTTTCATATTCTTTCCATCAGTCTCCCCCGAGCCGGTTTGGCCATCAGTCCGGCTCAGTCCTCCTTCGTCGATCCCCACAGGGTTTCCCACTCACCAGAATCGACCACACATAGGGTTCACTTGGGGTTCCCCCGGCTCCGGTGCCCTGGCAGTGTCATCTCCAGAAGCGGCGACCAACACGTCAAGCCGACAGAAGGTCCTTCCCAAAGCCTGGCTGAGACGATGCCACAGGAGCGGGAACAGGAAGGAGACCTTGTTGGGCCTCAAACAAGGCAATACTGAGCAACAAATTCCTTTGACTTCGACTGCTTCCATGGTCCTCAGTGATTGAACAGTGAGCTTAAACATAGAAAAACGCGACAACCTCGTGTGACACCTTCGATCTTCCTCAGTTTGGCCCAAATGCCCTCCTGGTCGCGTGGGTTGTGGACGACCATTGCCGAGCTGTCCTTGGGCGATCTGAGGAGCAGCTTCCTCAATCGCTCCTCGTCGCGTTGTTGGTCTGAAGAGTTTACTCGCAGCTTGGGATGTTGGACGGAGGATCTCAAAGGAAGTGATTGGAAATTGGATTGGATCTTGTCCTGTTGTAAAGGAAGTGATGATCCACACTGCTGGTCCGGCCAGAAGCGGAGTGTGGAAGATTGTTGTTTCGCCTTTTTACCTCAAGTCTTGGGCAAAGGGTTTGCAGATATGTTGAGTAAAGAGGTCTTCAGACACTTGCAGATGCGCGCTGCAGATTTGCACTTGGTCCGGAGGTTGTATTGGTCATGTCTCGACTTCTTTCCCGAGAAGCTACAAGAAGAGTTGTCGGCACAAATGAGTACATGGCAGTCAGTGAGAGCAGTCATGACCCAGAGCATGGCGCCTTTGTCGGGTCGGCGGCAGGACTTGACAGGGAGCCTGAAGTTGGTGACCAACAACATCTTAATGCAACAACGTTCGAAGGCGAGCTTTGTGCAGCGTGTCGGTTTGCAGCAAGATTGTATCATCGACTTATTTTCAGCACGATGTGAGAAAGAGCATTTGCCGATCTTCCAGCAGTTTGGTGTGGTTCAAGGACCCAACAACCAAGGAGAGGTTTACGATTTCCTGGGTGTCACCACTGCGACCGACGTCCACTGCCCTGCTGGCTCCGTCCGATCTTTGCATTCCACGTTGCATGCGTGTCGCCCCTTGAGCCACTTCTTTGAGTGCACTGCTCTCGTGAAAAACTGGGGCCGGTTGCTTCCCATGTTGGACGAGGAGTCCAAAATGAAGCAAAGAAAATGAAAAGGAAAAGAACATGAAGTAAAATAGATTTCTATTTGTTCTTTTGCTTCCTTCTTTTTGTTTTTTTTTGTAACGAGGAATATTTCGAATGGGAAGATGTGATGGACACGGCCTTCTTGGCTGCCCAACGAGGGGATCACTTCGCCATGGCAGAGGTGAGACACATGAATAGGATGACCTTCGCTTTTGGAACTTTGTTTGTTTTATGTGGATGCTATGCTGCTATATAGGCTATACCTTTTTCATTGTAATTGGGTCTACTCTGATTTCGTCTCGATATGTTATTGTTCTGTTGACTTCAGTCACGACTTCACGTCACTTCGCGAGGTGGGTGCAGGTGTCTATGGCATTTGGGCCATCCGTGCGGCTCGCGCCTTCCTTCGCTTTGCGCCACCGGAGGCCACCTGCGACGTTCTCATCGTGGAGCCTCTGCTCCTCGACCGGCAGCTGCTGCAGGAGCACGCAGATCGAAATCTTCCACCGAACCGCTGCCGGGTGATCGTCGTCGAAGCCTTCGTGGTGCAGCCGAAGGATCCGGTCCTTTTTCCTTTTCTTTCGAAAAAGGGGTTTGGGGAGGCTAGGCATAGCTAGGTCCTAGGAGCAGCTTACGTAAGTAAGGAGTGTTTTCCCTACTCAGACTGTTTTTTTTTCTTTCCTCGCTTGGATTTTTTTTTGAAAACGGTTCATAACTGTTGTGTCTCAAAGGTCGTCCTTGAAAAGCGAAGATGTTAGACCTGTGAATCGGACTACTAGTAAGGCACCTTGTTACTACTAGTAAGGCACCTGTTACTATACTAGCGTGGCACTTGTTCCTAGTAGCAAACATTGTTACTACTAGTAAGGCACTTGTTCCTAGTAGCGTGGCACTTGTTCCTAGTAGCAAACATTGTTACTACTAGTAAGGCACTTGTTCCTAGTAGCGTGGCACTTGTTCCTAGTAGCAAACATTGTTACTACTAGTAAGGCACTTGTTACTACTAGCGTGGCACTTGTTCCTAGTAGCAAACATTGTGACTACTAGTAAGGCACTTGTTCCTAGTAGCGTGGCACTTGTTCCTAGGAGCTTTGGCAACTGCTGAGCAACCACAGCCGTTCGGGTCTTTGGGACTTGGTGGATATCGACACCGACGAAGCGGAGCTGGGGATGCTCCGGGGCTTAGCGGAGCATCTGCCGAAGCGGGTGCGACGGCTCCACGTCTCCACGCATACGCGCTTCATCCATGGCAACGTCAAGAGTTTCTCCGATTTCTTGACAAGTCCACCTTTGGTCTTTTTTGGACAAAGGAAATCAATCATTCTGGGCTCCTTTTCTTTGTGAGGAAAAGGAGCCAAGTCCACCTTATTTTTGTTCCTCTCTTTGTTAGAGCGTCATAGTCGTCCCATAGTCTGCCGGCGAGCAGGTTGAGTCTTTTTTCGCACCTTGGGGAAATCACAAGCTGCCCGCTGAAATGTTGCAGGTTGGTTGCAAGCTGCAGGGTGGACGTTTGCCACGGACTTTGCGCCCTACTCCCTGGGGCGCCACGAGAAGATCGGCCACTTCGTGAACTGCGATGGCCGCTTGTCGGCTCGACCGGCATTTGCGAAAAGAAGGGCACAGAACACCGGTGTGTCACGGATGTCATTGAAGCATTGAAGATGGTTAGCTTGTTGTGCTTTTGGAGTGTGGACGTGCGTGTGAGGGGGTTTGTCGATTAGAAACGGGTGGTGCCTAATAGCGCCGGCCAAAGAGATGGGGATTCATTCTAATTAAATTCGCTTCTAGTAACAGGTGCCACGCTACTAGAAACAAGTGCCTTACTAGTAGTAACAATATTTGCTATTAGAATTAAGTTAAAACTAAATTAAACTAACTAGTAGCTTCTTGTTACTACTAGTAAGGCACTTGTTACTACTAGCATGGCACTTGTTACTAGAAGCGATGCACTTGTTCCTAGTCGTATTTGCCAAAATACTTGGAGAGCTTGCGGGCACTCCATTTCCCTCAGACTCGTGAGGAGCTTCTTGGAACAAGCCCAACTCGACAGAGCCGCTTGCAAGCCCTAGTTTGATGGGTGGATACCACGGTTGGAAAGGCATGGTCACCTGGGTAAGAGTCACAGGTTTCAAGTCTGTTAGATTCAGACCTTTGTGAGGTTGCTTCTCAGTTATAGTTCTGTGAGCTGCGAATCCTAAGCTTGTACGGGTTTAGAATCTAGCTGTGCAAATCCGGCAAATTGAAACAAGGCCATTTTCACATTCTGGTGAATTGTGCGAAAAGAATATAGCTGTCAATCTGTCAGAAAGTGTCTGGGCTGTGTGGGAACCGCCTTGCGAGAGCCCAAACTCAAGCCTCATGGAGCACTTCCTTCCATAGCTAAGGCTGAGTAAACTGGGGTCGCTAAAGCTACCTTCCGTTCTACATTTGCTGCAAACTGTGGGCGCTAAGTTTTGCAGCTTTTGTAGATGTATTCTTGTTTTATGGTTCAACTCCTTCGTGAACGCAGGCCGGCGCAACATGCCATTTGCACCTGGCAGCGTTTGCCGACCTGTCCGTCGCATTTGAGTTTGCACTCCCCATCGCTTGACATGCTTGGGGCTAGGGCAGAAGGGCAGCGGCTACCTACTGCTTCATGAATCAAAACCTCGCAAGCGCATCTTCGAAACGGCAGTTGTAGTCTGTTCTACAACTCGCCTTTCATCGTTCTTTGCCCTTGCTTACCATCTGTTGACTTTGCTCTTGCACGCTTCACCCTGCTGCTGCTGCTGCTACTACTACTACCACCACTACTACTACCACCACCACTGGCCCACGATTCCTACTACTAACATGCTCGGCCCGGGCCAAAATGGACGTCGTGTTCACGGTGATGAATGGACGTGTCAACTTCAGGAGCTGCGCACTGACAGCCTGGCGCACCTCGTGCAGGCTCACGGCCACCTCCTATGCGGGTGCTTGAGCAAACCTGATGCTTTGTTCGTTTCCGCTACATGGCTCTTTGTACCAGCAAATATTGTTCACCGGCTCTGCTCCTCCTTAAGCGCTGGGCCGCTTGTCGCCCCACTCCCTATCAGCAAATACCTAACACCCACTTTCCGTCTATGGACGTGAAGTGTGAAGGGTCACGGGCGTTTGGTGTATTTTTGAAGTACACGCGCAATTCCGCCACCATTTGCTTGGCCACTGCATTTCGGTGGAAAAGGCTGGAGAGTGCTTAGTTTCGGGCCAGTCAACCACAACCCAAAAAATAGCAGACAATCATTCGTTCTTTTTGAAACCCACCAATCTTCTTCCTTAGATGTCTGGCGCTGTTGTCGTTTGCTTGCTTTGTCCATGCTCCATTGCCAGACTGGCCCAAACACGTTTCTGACTGCAACCCGTCGTGTTGCTGGCCAGCTAAGGTTTGTCTCATGAGCGCGGTATGCATTTCACAATTTTTTAGGGGGCAGAGGCAAACACATACAGAGTGGTGGTGGTGGTTGTTGTGCTTGTTCGAAGTTGTTGTGGTTGGTGTTGTAGTCGTGGCTGTACTTGCTGTGGTTGTTTTTCGTGTTGTTGGTGTTGAGGCGCTGGCTGTTGTTGCTCTAAACAAAAACAGACACAGAATATGCAAACGATGCAACACAACTTAGATTGCATAACTTGCACCTTGGGGTCATCTTGAGCTATCTTGAAGGAACGGGGCGCCCTTACGAGCATGCTTTAATTACACCAGCATAGACCCAGATAGCCAGGCAGAATCCCACGACCTGTTGACACGCGACGGCTGGAACAATAATGCACGCAGCCTGCACAGCCAGCTTACGGCCGCACAATCAGCTGACACCAGCACCGGCGCGCTTTGCCAGATGACAACACCGGCACGCGGCACCAGCACCCGACCAGCGTCGCCGCCCGTCTTAAACGCGCGCTCAGCCAGCTCACAGCACCAGCACCCATGACTACAACACCAGCACCAGCACCATCACCCACCCTTTCGAAAGCACGCGCAGCCAGCTCAATCTTTTTTGCAGCAAGAACCCCATAGCTATCCCTATTTGGGGAATAATAACGTATGATCTTGCGCGTAAAAGTTTATGCGTACAAAAGCACGCGCGCAATCAGCAAAGCCCGTAAGAGTCATTGGCCCAAGGCCAAGCAGTATCCAGCGCCACTATTGACTTTGCAGCATGCTTGAAGCAACGATCTGCAGAACGATCAGGTCGTATATGATCTTGCGCGTGTAAGTTTATGCGCACCAAAGCATGCGCACAAACGGCAAAGCCCGTAGGCTTCACTCGCCCATGGTCAAGCAGTCTTGTGTATATTGTGTAAATGTAGCACGCTGAAACAATGGTCGGTTGAGAGCCTCACGTTGCGCATAGAACATTGTACGTACAAAATCGGTATGGGCGCAAACAGTACAGCCCTTGACACAGCTGTCGGCCAAAACAGAACCTGAAGAGTGTAAATACCCCACAGCGCTAATAGACAAAGAACGCTCAAGCGACAACACCGTATGATGATGTTGCGTGCATAAGTTCATGCGGCCCATGACTGCTGGCACTTCATTGTCAGGAGTGGCGCTTGGTTCAAGCGGCGGTTTGTTACCCTTCACGGTCAAAAGCGGCGGTTGTTATCACTTCACTGTCAGAAGCGGGCACCAGCACCGAGCACGGTGCTGGCGCAATACGCGTGCGTGTGGTGGAGACTGGGCGCCGGTGCTGGGCGCTGCCTGTGCGCGTGGTGGCCGGGTGCTAGTGCTTAGCGCTGGGTGGGTGGTGGTGCTGGGCGCCGTGAGCTGGCGTGCCGGGCACCCGGCGCCCAGCACCAGCACCCGGAAACAAAAAAAGAGAGCAACCTGTCTCCGTCACGTGACCAGCAACCTGTCTCCACGGCACCCGGCCCCAGCAACCTGTCTCCACCACGCGCACAGCCAGCTCACAGCACCAGCACCAGCAACCTGTCTCGAAAGCGCGCGCGAGCAACTCATTATCATTTGAAGTAAGAACCCCATAGCTTCGCTATCTGGGGAAAAAATCCGGGCGCCGGAGGGCCTTCGTGGTCACCAAAACGGGGGGACCCTATCGGCACTGATGCCCCTGTAATTTACAGTGTTTCGTGTGTGTGTGAGGTATAAAGAACACTGTGTTTTACAGTGTTTATTGCGCATACTGAAGCGCGACGCGGCCAAGAGGGAGAAATGCAAAAACGCTGTGTTTTTCAAGGGTGGTGTCGGTGATGCGCGCCGGGCGGACAGGCTTAATCGACATTTCGTGGGTGCTGGGGACGCGCCAACAGCAAAGGCGGAAAATGTGCTCCAAGATGATCTGACAGAGGCCCTCAAGATGACCCAACATAGGTCCCAGATATGACCCTACATAGGTCCCAGATGTGAGAAGATTGCCTCAAAACTCCTACCCGTGGCCCTGCGGGATTACCCGCGCTATGAATGTCGGATACCTATGATAATCCGAGCACCTCGCCGATGGGCGGACTTGCCAGGGCTTTCCCATATTTCGTTGGCCTGCCCTCGCGCTTGCTCAAGGAACCCGTATGGCAATAGATACGAGAAAATATTCGTTAATTGACATATAACAATCATATAGGTAAAATGAATAGAAAATAAATTGGAAGGACATATGAATTTCTGATTCGAGGCGGCGCGGTCGAAGAGCGTAATTTTTTAGTTGTTTGTGGTTAGTTTTTATTTTAACGGTGGTTATGGAGAAGGGAATATGGTTTAAATGGAAATAACGGACGATCGAAATATATATGTATTCTGAAAAATCGGCGATATAAAAATATTCAAAGTAAATTTATATAGGAGGAGGATATTAATTTTGTAAAATATAAATATTATAAAATTATACTTATTAATTCGTATTTTTTTTTCTGCGTATTAAATTATTATATATTATTGATTATTGTTTTTTAGCTTTATAGATTATTTTATATATTAAATTTATATTTTAAAATTATTTATTTATATTTTCTATGTTTTTAAGTATTTTATTATTAAATCGCGAATGTTTAGTTTTTTTATTAGTTTTTATTTTTTAATTTCGAGTTTTTTAATATTTAGTATATTAATGTTATATTATAATAGATTGATTTTTAGGTTTTTTTGTTAAATATTTTTCGCGTATTAAAGTTATATTATAGAATCGTAGTTTTTGATTCTTTAGATATTATATTTGTTATGAAATTTGATATTTTTAGGATTTTAAAGTGTTGTATTTATTATAAATTTTGTATTTCGAGGTTCTAAAAATATTGTGTTTGTTTTAAAATGTGTATTTCGAAATTTATAAAATGTATTGTGTTTGTTATGAAATTTATACTTGAAGGCTTTTATAATATTATGTTTATTACGAAATTTATGTATATAGACTTATAATACGATAAAATTTGTATATGTAGGTTTATAAAATGCTATATTTGGTACGAAATTTATAATTTATAAAGGGTTATATTTGTTATAATTCGAACTTTGTATATGGAGGTTTATAGAATGATGGTGTTTATTACGGTATTTATATATGGGGATTTATAAAATATTGTGCTTGCTTATGGACGGATGCAAGACGTTACATTGCTGTTGTTCTTCCCGTATTCGTGGTGAATTATTAATTATAAATTTATATGAATTTTGATATATAATTTATTTTATTTTT